TGTGCACGGGGGAGTGGGGTAGGGGGATGGGGTGGGGGTGGGATGCGGGCAGGGCAGGCCCCCCCCCTCCTGTCTGCTTCTCAATCCAGGGGTCTGCTCGGGGGCTCCCCTGGGACCGCCACATCTGGTTACCGCTAGCGGGGTCAGTCCCCCCCCTTTGCCTGGGGCCACCAGTTCTGGAGTTCAATTAAAAGAAATCAGGCTTAACCCTTTCCTCCCCTTGGCCCCCGGCCCTCTCACTCTTCCCTTCAGCGTTTCCACATGCTTTCCAGAGAGGAAAGAGGTTAAAGGGAAAGGAAGAATGAATTACATCCTTTCAAACCCCAAATTGTTTCCTTTTCAGCCCAGACTCTGCCGACCTTCAAACAACAACAAGGCTTTCAGGAGAGAGCGGGGAGACCACTTCCCACCCGGACCTGACCAGAAACCAGGCACCCTCAGCCACATTCCCCCTCTTGCAGGCAGAAAGAACTCCGGTCTACACAGGAGGCCCCCTTCCTGGTGCTGGGCGAACACTGAGGCCGTTCATGGCCACCCCACACCAGCCGGCAGCTCTCCTTCTACACACAGTCCCGCTAGTGCTTGAGAAGGGCGCCTCTGTGGCAGACGGTGGCCAGGCTCCTCTTCCCAACTCCTGTTCGGCCTGACAAATAACAGCCAGTCTTCACTGCTCTGATCAGTAAGTCACCCCAATATCCCTAGCACCCCAACTTCTTTTAGCAGGAGGTGCCTCTTCCCTTGGGAGAACTCAGTGTGGCACTTGATTTAAACAAGGACTGGCCCTCTGGTTTTAGCTGTGGAACTCAATAACACTTTCCGTTTCTGCCTGTAAAACCAAAGCTTCGGTAGTTTCGTAATTTTGAAGATGGTGGGAAGTGGGAAGAGGCTGGCAGTGGCAGAGTTGTCACCCTTGAGTGACTCACTGGCTGCACTGGTGCCCTGGCTTTTGGTATTTACCAGCTCTTCCATGAGGAGCTCCTGTCCATTCACCAGGTCCTCCACCCAGAAAGACGCAGGTCCCCCCACCCCCAACCACACACACACCAGCTCTAGGCAGTCCTCCGAGGGACTCTGAGATCCCCTGCGCCCACGCTGACATGGCGGTGGGCAAGTCTGCCCACTTACGTAACTCTGGATTTGATGCCCCACTCGCTGCTGCTGCCTTTTTAAATCCCGAAGGGGGAAAAAGCCCTAAGCAAACACAACAGTAAACAAGTCTGCCCCGTTTAATGTGGTTACCACCAGACATCTGGAAAGATGGTTTGATCCTGGCAGGTCACATTGTTTTCACGAGCAGCCAAAGAGAATATTTCGAATGTTTGCATTGAGACAAACTGATAGCCTGTGGTGAGGCCTGAGGCTGCTAGGGATGAAAATCGGCTTGGAGCTGGGGACGGGGAACCCTTCCCCTTCTCTGTCCTCACCCCTCTTCTGCCCTCTCTCCTTCCCTCTTTTTCCTCCCCCCTCCTCCTCCCCTCCCTTCTCCTGGCCTAGCTAGGGGCTGGTTACCCCAGCCCACACACTTGCTCACACCCTCTTTCCTGGCTCACCAGAGGCTGTCTTGCCTCTCCCTTTCCCAGACTGGGCAGGACTGGTGCCCAGGAGCTGGTGCCCGCGACCATCCTGCCCACTCTACCAGCGCCTGCTGGCTTTCAAGTCAGGGGAAGCTGACAGCCAAGAGACCAGGACCAGCATTTAAAACAAAAGCTACCAACTGTGGGGGGGTGCAACAAAACAGTCCACTACACATTTTTAAGTCTAAGGTCACTTGTAGAAAGCATGCCCACGGGGGGCGAGTATTCGGGAAAACTTTGGACTTGGAGCATTTTCATTGCAACTGTGGTGGGATGACTGGCCTCGCACTATCCGCACTTGACAGTATTTTCAAAGATGCGGAAGTCTTGCTTCCCCGGGGAGGGGTGCGGCGGCGGGGTGAAACGTGTCTTGGCTCGCTCAATGTCAGCCCTTTTGACCCGGTCAAGACTTTCCAGACGCAGCCTCCGGGGCTTCTTCGCTCTTGGGGGGTGGGAGGACGCGACAGCCGGAGCCAGGTCCCTGGGGTGCCTCCGGACCCCGGGACGGCCGGTCACTTGAAACCCCGAAAGATGCCAGGCTTGGCAGAGCGTCTGGGGCGGATCCTTCCTCCTGCGTCCTCCCCCCTCCCGGCCCCTCCTGTCCAGCAGCCGAGGCAGGATTCGAGCTGGCAAGGGGGTGGGGGAGGGGGGCGCGGGGGAGGGATGGGAGAGCGAGCGCCAAAACTCCAGACTGCACAACTGCAGCTTCAAGTGTCTGGCCCCTCGCTCGAGGCTATAATTAATTTGAGATTTATTTTTATTGGAGAACTCGAGTCTCGTCTGACCTTAGCCAAACAAGGCAGCTCGAGCAGCCCCTGGATGCGCTTGAATGCCGGGGAATATTTCTGCAGGAAGGCTCTGCAGGCGCGCCTGCTTTGAATTTGTTTCTCAGACTTCATCTACTCACAGATTGAAGGAAGATTTAGAGCCTCAGCTCACCCTGCCCGCTCCCCACGCTCGTTCTTGCTTTAGCGCCAAGAGGGTTCAAAACGCTACTTGGGAGGCCGCTGCGGCGGAAGGGCCCGGGAGGGGGAGGGTCTCTGCCCCCCCCCCAGCCCGTGGCGCTCCCGGCCAGGTCCCCAGACCACTCGGCGTCGAGGAGGAAATCCCAAGGGAGTCCGAGGCTGACCAGAGAGCGCAGGCTGACAAGAGGTGGAGACCAGCCAGGTGCCGGGACCCTCACCCGGTGGCGGCGCCTAGATGGGGGCTTTGGGGGGAAGGGAGAATTCAGCGTCTCCAAATCTCCAGCCGCCCTGCCTCCCAGACGTCCCAAACAGCGTTCAAGGTACAGACCTGTGTCCTTGAAACTTTGGTTCAGAACCTGCCAGCCAGATGCTGTCCCCGGGCCACGTCGCTGTGAACATTCTAGGGCGACCAGCCTCCTTTCCTCTAGTGGGGGTTGTCTCCCCCAGAATGCAGCGTGGGTTGAACCAGCGGGCTGGCTGGTGGGGGAGCGAGAACAAGGAATCTGGAAGACTCACAAAGAGGGAAAGTGGAGGATCCTGCCAATCTCGAGTGGGACGGCCAGGGACCTTCAGGGATGTGCTCCTGGTGCTAGGACTGGCAAGTGCATTGCCCAGTGCTGACATCTGGCATGGACGTGGTCAGGATTACTCCACTGGGTCTCCTGCCCCTCCCCATATCTGCAAGTGGAATCTCCTGGTCGAACGTTTCCACTGGGAAACCCAGCCCCTTGGGTTTGTATCTAGCTCTGCACTTACCAGCTCTGTGGCCTTGAACGAGTTCCTTAACCTCTCTGTGCCTCGGAGTCCTCATCTGTACATTGGTGTTATAATAGGAACTACCTCAAAGGGCTGTTGTGAAGATGAAGTGAGGATTTAGAACTTGCCTGCAATCAGCACAACTTTGCCCTTATTATTTGTAACTTGTAAGCTGTGTTGCATTACACTCTTAATGACTCAGTTTCTCATCTGCAAAACTACCTCTTATGGTTGTTATTAATATTAAATGAGTTAGTACAAATACAATGCTCTCTCCCTTTTCACCTTTCCCTTGCTCTTTACAGCCTCGTACCCGCCCTACGCGCTCTCCTGCTCGTTCCTCTTCGAGCACTTAGAACCCAGATCGCTGCCCGGTGGGAGTGAGCACCCTTGGTTCCCCAGGGCTGGGCGCCTGGGCCCGCAGTGTTTGTCAACAAGCTCCGAGTCGAGTGCCAGAGGCGGAACGGCAGAGGCTTGGCAGCCGCGGACTGCTTGTGCCCCTCTGGCAAATGGTAGGCGTAGGGAGCCGGCGGAACAGACCCAGATTGTCCCTGCCACGCGGACGTTTCGCCGTCATCAATGCACCCCTTTGTGCAACAATACAAACTTTGTGGCTGCTGAAAAAATCCATTTTTTCCCCTTCAAAAGAGCTCCTGCGGTGAGAGGCTCCCCTGGCGGCTACAGCTCTTAGACTGCTGCCCCTCCTCCTCCCCCACCAGTCCCCTCCCCTTGCCCGGCCCGTTTGCTTTCTCTCTGGCTCTTGGTCAGGGTCAGGCTCCTGGGCTCCCTTTGGCCCCTCTGGGTTTGTCATCTCTGAGGCTGTGGATCCCGGGGGGTGGGGGGCCAGACTCGGGGGATCCTTGTGGATGGGAGAGAGACGGCCACTCCTCACCCCGGGGCCCTTCGCAGCCCTCGGGGAAGAGCTGATAATAAGAAATCAGTCAGGTGTGCCTGCGTTCTGGGAGCAGTGGGGTGAGGGGGTTTACGGCATCCTTAGCCTCTGGGGAAAGCTGGACACCGCGAATCAAAGCGCGCTGTAGGCTGTGTATACTCTGCCACCTCCTGGGAGCCAGCCGTCCACCCAAGCGTTCACTGATTACCCATCCATTGATTCACTCCTTTTTCATACTTTCATCACTGATTGATTAAACACCTCTTCCTTGCCAAGCCTGGAGAACCCCGCTTCCCCAAAGTGACTATAGACTCCTTCAGACCTCCAGCGGGGGGCAGAAGATGCTACCTGGGATCAACAAATTTCCCTCGAGAGAAACAGGAGGAGGGTTGGACACTTAATTGGCGCTCCCCATAGGACCCGAGCTTTCCCACCCCACTGAGTTGCTCGGTGTCCTCGGACGGCCACGCTGCCGGGCTTCGCGGACTCAGGAAGGCTAGTGGGGGGTAGGCGGAAGGGGTGGGGGCCTCCCGGGGGCGGAGTTTCGGGAAGGAGTTGGAAGTATGTTTGCTGAGCGGTGGTGGTCCTTCCTCCTCCGCGCAGCGGAAGGCTCTGGGCTGCTACCCTGAAAGCGGGAGGTCGCGCCTGGGCTGCGAGAGGACCTCGCTGCGGTCCCCACCCTGGGGGGGGGGGGTACGCACCCTCGGCCCCGCCCCGCTGGGGGAGTTCATTAAACGTGTAACCCAGATGTCCTGGCCTTGGTTTGTTTACATTCTTAGGAACTGCTATGGAAAAGGGGGAAAAAAACCTGTCCCCTTTGATATGCTGTCAAATATAGGACTCTTCGCTTTCGAGGGGCTAATGGGGCCAAGAAAGGTGGGCCTGAGGACTGGGGCGTGTCGAACTCGTCGGAGAAGCACGTCGCAATCACTCACCCGCACCCAGACGCACACACGCGCACGCTCCGGTGCACGCGGACCCCTGACTCGGGGAACCCGCCGTGCGCCCGCGGCGTGGACGCTCAGCCGGCTGGGACTGGACGCTGGCCTGCAGGGGTCCTGGAGCTGGAGTCTCGGCTTCCCCAGTCAGCCTTCACCAGGCTCGTCCACACGTCCATTCTCCCAAACCGAAGGGGCCAAGAGCCTTGGTCCTCAACCAGGGATTCCCAAGGGTCTGCGCCCCCCTCAGTTTGTCCAGCCAGTGCCCCTGGCTCCAGACCCACCTGCTGAGAGCGCGCCCGCTCCCCCTACCTCTTTCCCCGGGGTAAGGTGGAAGGGACCCTAGGTCGGGGAGGGGGTGGGAGAGGCTGAGGGTCATTACCTGTTTAAAGACGCTGTCTTGTCTTACCTTGACATAAGACGATGTGTCAGGGACTGTCTGAGACATCCTGGGTTGGCGAGAAAAGGTCAGGAAGGCCCAGGAACCAACCTGGGTGGGAGAAACCTCAGTCACTCGCGAGTGGAGGAAGGATGAGGCTGTGTCGGGTGGTGAGGCGGAAGTGCAAAGGGAGAGGAAGGCGAGTTGAGAGGCGCCCATCCACCTGGACCCTGCCCTTCCTGCACTTCTCTCCCCCAGGGTTCAGCCTAAAGGATAGTGGGGGG